TGTCAAGCCATGCAACTTCAAAACTTGCCCTGCGACATACTGCCTTCCACAGTCAGTGGCATCAATTATGTGCTGGACAACGGTATTCATTTGTGCCATTTTTCTTTGCAGTAACCATCATCAGAATACTTTTTTTTCCTTTGCATTAAGCAAAATAGCAGTAATCTGTCTCGTGCTTGCTGTTTTCCTCCCTTTCTCCCTCCTCTAGTCTATCCCTGTCTCTCTCATTCTTTTTCTCTGCTTCTTTCTTTCATACATACGTATACAAATGCAACTATGCCTATAGGTCCCTCAGTTTTAGCAGAAAGCATACAGGCAGTTCTTATGATCCTATGTGGTAATTGCTGAATTAAGAACCCCTCTTGGATGCCCATATAAAGGACTGCCACTCTCACTAGAGGCCTTTCTTTCACAAGATCTCAGCAATGACCCAGAGGTAATTATTTCTTTCCTTTTATTATCTTCAAGAATTGGGTTTCTCTGTCTTCCCTCACAGGACTGTTGGATTTAAGATGTGATGTGTTCATTTCTTATCTAGTATCTGCATGTAGTAAGTACGTTGTAAATGCGGGATGGATGGATGGATGGATGGATGGCAGGAAGGAAGGATGGAGAGAGGAAGGAAAGATGGCCAAGTGACTGTATGAGCACATTTTGTTGCTCAGATGTTCCCAGAGAAGAGGTGCACAGGTTACATAAGAGTGACATCTCCATTCACTCAGATGCTCTGATCAAAACCCCTAGAGTCAACCTTGGCTGTCTTCTTTATACTTCATATCAGCAAAACTGTTGGGCTCTCTTCTTTTTTATATGTGTTTTAAAAATAATTTTTAGTTTAAGGGCACTTGTTGGGATGAGCACTGGGTGTTGTATGTAAGCGACTGAATCACGGGAATCTACCCCCAAAACCAAGAGCGCACTGTATACACCATATGTTAGCCAACTTGCCAATAAATTATATTAAAAAGTAAATAAATAAAATACTGGGAAAAAAAGAGAAGAAAACAGAAATACCCAAAATTTAAAAAGTACTGTTATGTAATTCCATGACTGTCTAGACAAATGAGAAATAACATGAATTCTATCCCCTGAAATATGCTCACTGTTTGTTTATGTTTCAGCATTGGAATGTTATTATTTAAATTTTCGTTAAACTTACCATCTCAACAAGGCTATGTATTAGATCATACTATAGTTAATTGGACCATAAATGAAATAAGCTAAAAATTCTAAAAAATAATAATTTTTAAAATGTATTTATTTTGGGAGGAGGAGGGGCAGAGAGAGAAGGAGAGAGAATCCCAGGCAGGCTCTGCACTGTCAGCACGGAGCCCAATGCAGGGCTCGAACTCACAAACCATGAAAGCATGACCTGAGCCAAAATCAACAGTCAGCCGCTTAACTGACTGAGCCACCCAGGTGCCTCTGGGTTCACTTTCAAAGCCATTGCAGTCCTACTTTGAACTAGCTTCACTGTGGCCACCATTGGCCAATTCACCATCATCTCTTGCCTCCTTTTTCAACTGTCTTCAAACTGTTCTCTCTGCTTCTGCTACAGTCTGCCATCAGAAAGGCAGCCAGAATATTCCTTCTAAAATGCTCTCTCTGATGACTCCCCATATCACTCAGAGTAAATGGGAAAGGTCTTCACTATATGTTCTGTGCCCATTTCCACCTTTCTGGCCTTACCTGCTGGCTTACTTCACCTCCCTCTTGCCCCCACTCCAGCCACACCACCTCCCCGCTCCGTTCCTCACCGTCACTCTGTCCCACTGTGGGAAGCTGAATAGTGGCTCCCAAGCACATCTGTGTTCTAATTCCCAGAACCCAGAATGTTACATTTTGTGGCAATGGGGACTTTGCAGATGTGGTTGAATTAAGGATCTTACAGTGGAGATGATATCTCGGATTATCCTGGGGGGGCCGAACTAATCACAAGTCTTTTTATAAAAGGAACACAAGACGAGTCATATCAGAAGAAGGCAGGGTGAGGAGGGAAGCAGGGAGAGCAACCGTGATGTGACATGGGCCATAAACAGGAATGAGGACATTCCTTCTAGACGCTGGAAGAGGGAAGGAAATAGATCGTCCCCTGAGCCTCCAGAAAGAACACAACCTTACTGACACCTTGTTTTCAGCTCCATAAGATTTATTTCAGATTTCTGATCTCCAGAACTAGAAGAGAATCAATTTGTATCATTTTGAGCCACAAAGTGTGATAATCCTGGCAGCAAGAGGAAATGTGCACCCCCATTATTCTGTTTTATGCTTCTTTACGGCACTGTCGCCACCAAGCATATTTTGTGTTTACTTATTTGTCCATCAGTTCTTTTTCCCACAACAATGCGAAGTACAGGGGAGCCAAAGCCTGGTGCAATTATCTATGGGTTGAATAAATACATAAATGATATATTTTAATTAAGTGGTTGCTCAACACCCTGCAATGTCTGAGCCTCAGTACAATGTTGGTTGAACACATAATAACAAATCTGCGTGATTTTTACACTGACTTGTCTAGAACAGCTGAAAATACACACAAGGGAGTGTAGGTACAGATGCAGCCTGAGCGGTCTACACTGCAACAGCTCAGGAGACGAATAACCCCAGGACTCTATGGCAACCAGCCCTGCTAGGAAGATGGTGAGCTTTAAGGTGCACCTGAGCCCCATCCAAGGTGGGGCTTCCAGCTTTCCACCACCCTTATGCCAGAGCAGGGAGGAAGAAGGAGCCTAAGCAGGTTACCTTTGTATTGTCCACTTCTGCACAAGGAGAGAAGTCCCTGTACTCCCCACTTTCATATGTAATTTCCATCCAACATTGAATAAAGAAGTGCCGTGGGGATGGGTGGAGAATTGAGATGCAGGGATTATGACTGCCACTCCTCTTAGTGCTGCTAATATCATTAAAAAAGAGGTCACACACAGGAGCTGAGGTCTCTGAGTTAACAATTATTCTAAAAAGGATGTAAACTTAAAGAGTTAACTTCAATATTTGCTTTTGGGAACCACAGATCTTAAAGAGCCTGAGGCCACACGTTACTACCAAACAGTTTTTCCTGTTGCTAATACCAGCTGAGGATTCCAACACTTGTGTTTCCTCCTGCTTCTGTTTGGTTCAACACCAGTGGCAGGCTAATTTCTGGTGAAATCAACACTTTTCCAATTTTACAAAGGTCTTGATGTGCCCACAATGATGATGATGGTCATGATGACGATGACCCACCTTGTCTGTTGCATAAAGTTGCATGGATGCTTCTGTCTTGAGACAAATACACCTAGTCCTCACTAGGAATGGGATTTTGTGGTCTTTTTCCTTCCCTTCCCTCCCCTCCCCTCCTCTCCTCCCCCTCCCCCCCTCCGCCCCCTCCCCTCTTCCCTTCCCCTCCCCTTCCCTTCCCTTCCCTTCCCCTTTCCTCTCCTTTGAAACTAACTTTATGGCAAATATGGAAACTGGAAGGCTGCTTGAATGCACCTGCTTGAATGTTATCTCCTTGGTGGAGCCCCTCCTGACTCCCTCCTACACTCTTGAACACTCTGTCCCAAATACCCATAGCACTCAGCTCACTCCTCTATTTTACTGAAATTACCCGTGTGCAAGTTTATCTCATGCACCACTTTGCTGACTTCTTGACAGCAAGGTCCCTCCCTGTCTCCCCCACCCCTTTCTCCCCAAATGCTCAGCGTAATACCAGGCAAGTTTGGATGGATCCCTAAGTATAAGCTAAACACTCTGCTAGGTACTTTTTAAAGACTGTGTGGTAAAATAAAGGAAATACAATGTACACACAAAACAATGAAGGAAAAATACAAAATAATTAATATATGAAATCAGTAAATAAAGTATATTTTATTAGAGGAGTAATTGGAAAACACAAAGGGGAGAAATAAGCATGAATGGGGGGTTTGTGGGCTCATTTTATTAGCCAGAAATAGTATTTACTAATATGTGGTCTCCATACTAAGAAAAGTGTAAATATGAATATTGTCAGGGAGTGGACGTTGGGGGAATATGTTCTGCCTTCTTGATTAATAAAGATGATTTGTCTAGCCCAGAAATGCTTTCTTATGTTTTGACAAATTGTAATAGTCTTTATTGTAAATAGCCTGTATGTAATAAATAGACTATGTATTACAATTACAAGAACTTCATGGATATCCAAAGTTCTCAGTTTATATATCATAAGCATTAAACATTAACACTGGCTGTTGGTCTCTTACTACTACACCACTGAAATCATTTTACTTCATCAGATATTTTAGTTATATTGGTGTCAAAAGGGCAAGATCAGTGACAGAGGTAACGTTTATTGACCATCTATCTGAAGTATCTGTGACCTTAGAAATGCTAAGAAGGAAAACCCAGCACCTGGCTATTGACTTGACTTCCTCTCAGAAGCCTTGGTTTCGTTTTTGAAATTCAAGTTGACAAAGGAAATTTAACCAGACAAGAAAACGTACTTAACGTCTGTCACAAAGGTAAGGATTTGAGCCGCATTTTCTGCTCACTTGTAAGTGAACTCTTAAAAAAAATGCTTTGCCCCTGGTATATAAAAGTCGATGATTAGACACACAATTTAAATGCACTTTCCAATTCTTATATTTTTGAGCAGTCCTGAGTGAACTCTGGGATCACTCATTTATTTTTTACTTCTTTATTTTTTCAATATTTATTTATTTATTTATTTGAGAGAGGAGAGGGGCAGAGAGGGAGAGAGACACAGAATCAGAAGCAGGCTCCAGGCTCTGAGCTGTCAGCACAGAGCCCAACATGGGGCTCAAACTTGCAAATGACAAGATCATGACCTGAGCGGAGGTCAGATGGTTGACCAACTGAGCCACCCAGGCACCCCTGGAATTACTCATTTAACCAGCTCTACCCCTGAATATGTCTTGAGGTCCAAGGACCATGACATCATGCATCTTTCCTTGGACACTCAGAATAAGAAGACACCAATTTCGCCATCTACACAGGCAGATGTGCCTATCAGAGACAGCCCTTACCTTAACAAAGAGGCTAATCTCAGGGTCCGTGGACGTTGATTCATCTTCTTCCAAACCATCAGCAGCAGAATAGCGGGTGGAGGACCTCTTGCTGGGAAAGAAGGCCCTGCTCTGCTGGATAGGGAAGGTTGGAGAAGACAGGTCTTTCTCCATCACGCCTCCATCCTCCTGGGGTTCCGGGTCCTGGGCTGGTGAGGGCAATTCTTCCTGGTCTTGGGCTAGTGAGGGTAATTCTTCTTGGTCCTGGGCTGGTGGATGCAATTCTTCTTGTTCCTGGGCTGGTGAATGTAATTCTTCTTGGTCCTGGGCTAGTGAATATAATTCTTCTTGGTCCTGGGCTACTAAATATAATTCTTCTTGGTCCTGGGCTGGTGAGTGTAATTTTTCCATTGAGCTATTCCAGTCTTCACTGGAGACTGGTGGCTCACCCTGTTGAAGATCCTGGGACTCAGGATGTATGTCATCAGGCAGAAGGTAGTCTCCTGCTTCTGGCTGAGAAGAGGTCAAGCTGTTCTCACCGTCGGCAACATAGACGGACACAGAGTCATATTTGTGGCTTTCCAGTTCAGTGGCATACACCTCATTTTCTGACCTCAGGTCTTCACGGATGTTATCATAAAGAGGGACTTCGTTTTCTTCTGGCAAGCCTAGGGGAACCTCATACACCTCTTTTTTTTGGACTGTGTCATAGATGGTGCTATTATCTTCGTCATTCATGTTCATCGATCTGATAGATCGTTTGCAGGCAGATCTGACTAGATCAGAAATGAATAAAGGGATAGAGGATGCTGTACCGCCTTGCAGAGGAATCAACAGGCTTTTGAAGCTCAGCAACTAGCAACAGCTACCAATGACAGATCTCTAACAATCATTTACCAGAGACTTTAATCAGCAAGCCACAAGTCCACTGGACACCAGATAAAGCTTACACACTCAGTTAACTCCTTCATTGCTGAGGATAGTTTCAAGTAGACTCTGGGGTTTTCCTCACTGCCAGTAGCTCCAAGATTCTTTGGATTAACTAGAGGTTGAATTATCTTCCCAGTGCACACTGAAATTCTAAATATTTAGCCATTGTTCACTAAATAGGGCTCCCTCTTCTAATGCCCTCCAAATGTTGACAACATTCAAGAAGCCCCTGAAATTCACTTCTTCACAATTGTAACTCATCTATTAAAAAGCTGAATTCGTTACACAAAACAATTCTTTGAGTATCAATACCCTATGATACATGAGCTGTACATGCTCCAGCTAGGTGATAAATTCCATTTGCATTTCTTATCTGGAAACACCACCAGGAGATTAAATGGCAGAAGGAAAAGGAGATAAATGCACCGGCCTATAGTCACATCAGTACAGGGTACCCAAAAATAAAGAACTCAAAGATTTATGGCTTTGAGTTTTATTCTTCCCTCCTAAATCCATATGATCATCATCAAAGTCAACAAACTTTTACTGAAGTTCTGTTATGTGCAGGATACCGAATTGAGCACTAGTCATAAGTGTTAGAAGATTCATTCTCTGCTGTTGAGAAACTTCTAAACACAGTTGGAAGACAAGAAAGCAAATCTATACCCTAATGGGCACAGAATAAACTATCCAAGGTTTTCTTAGGGCAATTGCCCCAGGTCTGGGATAACCAGTAAGGAACTAGATACACAAAGCTGCCTCATTGATGTCACTTACAAGTGCCACAAATATACAGGCTCTTTGCTTCTAATCTGGTACTCTATTCTGCTCATTCCTGTTTCCCTTTATCCTACAGTGTACATGGTTCTCTTTGAAGTGACAATCAGAGAGACTGCAAAGGGACTTTAATGTCTAGAAGTCATGTGACCATTAAGAAGCAGTGCAACTGTGGACATAGCACCTGATGAACATCTTGTTAACAAAACTCCATTGTACCCTTAGCTCCAACAACGTATCCAGGAATCTTCTGGAGCAAACTAGAGTAGTATTGCTAGAATTCTAGCTTTGGGGATGGCTCAGAGGATAGATGAGTGGAAGGCGGCTAGAAACAGATTTTAAAGGCTCTTGACGTTAGCCCTTTCTCTTATTGAAACATGAGGTTTGGTGGGTTCAAATCCCTTATAAATCACCATAGCTTCCATAATTAGGCACTGACAACTCAAAATGATTTGAGGATAATTCATATCCTCATCATAATATTAGCGCTGGAGAAAACCTAACATGTCATTTAGTCTAACATTCATTTTACATTGGAAAAAAGCCTGAAACCTAGAAGGAGAAGGTGAATGGTCCAAATTCACACAGAGAGTTAATGACACAGCTGATTTCCGCTGGGATTTCCTAACCCCCAGAGTGATGATCTCCGCTACTCCCTCCCTCCTGAGGCCAGTGTTTTCCAACCTATTTTCATGATCCCACAAGCTTCTCCTCTTACCCCCCAAAGAATCCTTTTTAGATATTTTCCCCCCATGAAATGAAAACACTGCTGATACACTGCATATCCTCTTGTGTATTATATGTGTATCATGCTTTATACGTACGGAAAAAAATAAGCTTTTATCTCCTGAAAACCAATGTTTGCCCCGTTGGGGGTGGTCTTTCTGCTTTTGAGAATTCATGCTTTAACTGCTGAAGTACTTCTGGGGTATAACTCACAATCCAGCACTGGATTACATGCCATTTTGCATTATTACCAAGGAATCATATTCTACAGTGTGAGTACATGTATGCAGCAGGCTACCAGGTCCTTATCACAGTGACCCAGCCAGGCAGTAGAGGCTGGTTAAGTTTAGGGCTTAAGATCACACACATATTTTATATATGTGGTCCTCCTGTTTCCCACCTCGAGACACACCTATCATGTTCTGGTTACAGATTGTAATAGGAAGTCAGTCATTCTGTGAAAATGTCATTCAGCTCGGCTCAAACTCATATAATGGCTCCCCCTACCTCTCAGTAAAAGAGCTGAAGTTCTTAACAATGATCCACAAAATCTGCACCGGCTTTCCTATGCCTGCTTTTCCCCCTTTGCCTACCCTGTTTCAGATATCCTGGCCTCGTTGCTATTCCTGGAACATTCCAGAATGCTCTCTATACAGGCTCTTTACATTGGCTGTTTGCTCTGACCAAAATACATTTCTCCTGGATGTCTGCATAGTCAATTCCCCAAACTCTTCTAAGTCTTTGCTTATACATCCCCTTGCCAATGAAGCCACTCTGTTTAAAATGTCAACCCATCCCAACTCCTATCTGTAACCCCTCCATTGCCAAAGACCCTTACTTGACTTTTAATTTCTTATTCCATAATACCTATCCCCTTCTCACAAGAAGCATATATTACTTTATGTCTAGAATTTATTTTTGATGGAAACCAACTTGACAATAAACTATTTGTAAAATAAATAAATAAAATAAAACAGTAAAAAAAATAAAAAGGAGCACTGAAATAAAAAAATAAATAAAAAGGAGATCTGAAATTAAAAAAAATAGAATTTATTTTCGGTCTTCTTGCACTAAAATGTAAAGGCTGTATGGTCACAAGTCTCTGTCTGCTTCTTAATCATCATCTCAAGCATTTAGAGGAGTGGCTGGCATATATTAGACACTCAATACATTTGTTGAATACATTTCTGGGATGGTTTGATGGTTTCTGGGATGTGTTTAGTCTCCACTGAACACATAAGTTCTATGAGATCAAAGTCCATGACTATTTTATGCATCAGTATATATCTAAAATTTAGCAGAGATCTGACCTATCATTGATGTTATTAAATATTTGTTTTATAAACAACTAAAATGGAAAAAACATGCCTAGAATTCAGGTCCTTTGACTCCTGGCCCACTTTTCTTTCTGTGCTATGTGTATAGATATTATCTCCTGATTATATTTAAACTCATCTAGAAGAACTAATACCTCGGTCTTCCACAGAACTTTGTATGGAGCAAGTTGGCTTGTTTACTTATAAAAGAGAGCCCGTCAATCAATTAATCAGTCAAAAATATTTTGACGGCTTCATATGTATGTTATTTACGACCTAGGAAAAGAAATATGACACATTTATTCATTTGTTTGAGAGGTTCTAAGAATGAGCTTGCATACTTTCTGAAATACAAGTTTGTTTATGTCACTCTCATGGTCGGAAATCTTTGAGGGGTCTTCTACAAGAAGATGTCCTTTTCAAGATCTTTCACAATCAGAACCATACCTATCTGTCCTGTTAGCCTCTCCCCAGAGAGCCCTCCCAAATGTTCTATTCTGCAGCCACATAAGCTGCTCTTCCCTAATGTTTTTCCTCTTTCCAAAATGCTGCCCCTATACTTTTGTATGTGTGTTTCCTCTACTGGGCAAAATTCTACTCATTCTACTATGTGCAAGATATACATAAGACATGATCTTATATGCACCTACAACTAAGGAAATTTACACATTAAAATTCAAGAGAAAGGCTCCAAGTGGGCCTACAGGAGACCTGCTCATTCTCTGGAATGATTTGGGAGCTCATGTCTGGCCTCCTGCTTTGTATGTGCAAAGATTCAATTTGGTTAATTTGCAAAGGGATTTTCAAACTTTGTAGATCTGGATCACTCTAAAAAGAAACCAAACAAACAAAAACCAAAAACCCATCATATTAGCAACAAAAATGCCAATGTATTATTTTACTCCAAAAAAATTGCCGAATTGACTTGTATTTGTCACAATAGCAATCAGTTAAGATACTGTCTTCATGTTATATTTGTGTGAAGTTTCCATGTTCTGAGACAATACCCCATTTTTCAAAGCCAATATCAGTGAGTTTTGCCTTTTCTGTTTATACTGATCACCCTCATTAAGAACTTACCGATATTGGGGCTCCTGGGTGGCTCAGTCAGGTAAGCATCTGACTTTTTGGCTCAGATTTTGGCTCAGATCACCATCTCCTGGTTCATGTCATGTGAGTCCACCTCGGACTCTATGCTGACAGCACAGAGCCTGCTTGGGATTCTCTCTCTCCCTCTCATTCTGCCCCTCCTCTCTCTCAAAATAAAGAAACAAAATTTTAAGAAAGAACTTATCAATATTATTTTTAAGAAAACAATTGCCTTTATTAATAGTCTCTATTGTGCATTTTTCTGCAATGTCACTAATTTCTGCTCCTGTCTTTATTATTTTCTTCCTTCTCTTCTCTTTGGTTTTACTTTGCTGTTCTTTATTCCAAGATAATTGTAATGGATACTTAGACCATTGGTGTTCAGCTTTTCTTCTTTCCCAATTATGCATTTAAGACCATTAATTTTTCTCTAAATATAGTTTTTTCTCTATCCCACAATATTTTATATGTTCTATTTTTATGATCATCCAGGTCAGAAGGACTAAATTCTTATTTTGGTTCTCTTGACTTTTGTTTTATATGTTTTCGAGGCTATGTTATTAGGTGCACAGAGATTGAGAATTGTGTCATCTTGGCACACGGACTGTTCCTTTAATAGAAGATGCCACCCCTATCTCTACTGATATTTTTTTTGCCTTTTTCTGAAATCAGCTTTCTTTTGGTTAGTGTTTATGGATATATTTTCCCACATTTTTACTTTCAATTTTTGTGTGCCCTTATACATAAACATTAGATAGTTATATTTTTATTCATCCTAACAATCTTTGCCTTTAATTTGAGTAGTTGGTTTATAAACATTTTAATGCAATTGCAATGTATTTAGACTCAATATGCTATCTTACAATCTCTATCTTTCAAAATGAGCAAAAGCTTGAAGGG